ATTCTAATAACTCACAGAATTGATGAGGCGATCAGTTTCTCGAGAGTTTATCGCTTTAGAAATCCAATTATTAAAGTCTTGCAAACTGTAAATAAATAAAAGGATCCATTATTTTCTTTGTCAGAATTTTCAAAATGATTGGATAGCATATTGAAATCCATTTAAAATTCATATTCTATACAAGTCAAAGAATTAAACATTTTAAAAAGTTTTTTTTCACAAAATCAAAACAGAAATCAAAGTTTATAGGAGTCATAGTTACAAATGATTGACCCTTGTGGCAGTTTTGTCATCAGTAAAATAGGAATAATGACAGAGCCCTCATTAAAGAGCTGTCCTGTCCTGAAGGTTAAAGGAGATCATTATTCTCTGTGGTTGGGATTCTTATTAATAACATTATGAACATTAAAATAGCAAAAAACTGGAAACCACCAAAATGCCCTCGATACAGGGATGACTAAACTAACGTGTGACATACACACAGATGAAACAGCTGGTAAAAATAAGAACGTGGGCTCTGTCCACACAAAGCAATATGAATATAAACTATTAAACACAAAAAGCAAAACCCAATACCCATTCTCTATTATAACTAATTAAAATACATGTATATGCATACTGAGAAAGTTGGAAAGTAACTCTGGAGTGATTCAAATTGTTAATGTAATACTTACTGGGCTCTTTTTTCTATCTGATTGCATTAGTAAAACAGACATCCAGAGGATATTGAACTGATTCACATGATAACAAAGGATAAATATATTAACTGGGTTTTCTTTAAAATGAGATTTCTACTGGAAAAAAAATCTTTCAAAAATGATATATTAGCCTTGCGAAAACAAAACTACCCATATGTATTGCGTAAATTTTGTCACATTTGAATTATACAGTGCATAGAATTTTTTTTTCCTTTTCCCTTTTGTTTTTTTCCCCTTGTCATAGAAAGTTTCAAACATATACAGAAGTACAGAAACTAGCATAAGAACCTCCATGGACCCATCACTCAGCTCCAACAAGTGTTTACACATGGCCCATCTTATTTCATCTACACTTCCACCTACCATCCCTCACCTCTGCCTTGGATTGGTAATTTTAAAGAAAACCCCAAACATCATATTGTTTATCCATACATACTTCAGTAGGTATGTCTAAAAGATAAATTCTTTTTATTTTTACATATAACCACAATATTACTACATTTAAAAATATTAACAATAATTCCTTGTATCATCAAATAGCTAGCAAGTTCCCCCCCAGTCTCATAAATTTTTTTTTACAGTTGAATTGCTCAAATCAGTACGATCCACACGTCCAATGCATATATTTCTCATTTCTTCTCTTTTTTTGCCCCCCACAACTCAGCTCCTATTCTAGTTTATACAGCATTGATATTATCATCATCACATGAAAAACATTAAAATAGAGACATTCTGAGGAAGGGTAAAAAGGAGTTAAGATATTTAAAAAAAAAAACAAAAAACGTTAATTCTCTTATACATACTTGTTCCCCTAGTGAAAAGGAGAAAGATGCTTTATTCTTACTATAGATTCAGATTCTTTTCTGGTTCAGTCTAACCTGAACTTCCCTGGACTTTCATGGGTGTGACGGAAAGTGAAGGGACAAGGAACAAGGGACTCTGGCTTTGCCAATAATAGCATTCTGCCCACAGGCTGCAAGGCTGAATCACGTGCAGAGAGGAGTTTCAATTCCACAGTAGGGTAAGATGGAATTTCTTTTTGCAAGTGCTTGATGGTTGCTATCAATTACTTTTTAAAAAGTAATGTAACTAATCCATTCATATTAAAAGCACCAAATGAAAACATCCTAATAAACTTGAATATCATTTGCATGTTATCAAAAGATTGACAAGATAACACCTTAATTTAAAGAAATGAAACTCCTCTGCTAGAATTACTTTTTGTCCCTAAAAAGCAATTGAGTTAAATGCCTGCTCTAAGCAGCCAGTAGTTCTTCTATACTATACGCAGGCAGGTTTCTCATACTTGGAACCTAATTCTAGGTACAGTGTCAGAGTGCATAAACTCCCCAGGTTTCAGGGTTTCCCCCAGCTAGCCGACTTAAAGGCTAGGTTTTTGCTGTTTTTCAATTTGGATACAACTCATCAATAAAATCTTGTCATCCTTCCTGAGAACCTAACATATAGCATATGAAAATTCAAACAATCTTATTCCTTTTAAAACAGGAAAGAACTTTCCTTTGAAAGGTGATGAAATCAGGCCTGGACCTATTTTACTTCCTTTTTCTTTCTTTTCTAGTCTACTGATTGCTCTCAGCAAAAGCACTGTTAAGCAGGCAGAGGACAACGGAATCCCTCTCCAGAGCTGGAAGCTGGCCTAGGGGGCCCTCTGAGCTTAGAACCAGGGAAGAGGAAGGGAATTCAGTGTGGCAAGTTCCTCCTCAATTATCACAGACCACTTCCAAAGAGATCAGAGATTTTTTTCGTGAAAAAATTATTTCTCAAGCATTTTCTTCTACCTTTTCAGCCATGTGGGAGGACTGAAGGCAAAATCCATCAGAACTAGGTTATCAATACCCTGAAGTCAGGGGCCATGTCTTATTCTGTACTGAATCCCCAATACCTAGGACTGGACTAGCATGGTGGACACATGATACATGTTCATCTAACATTTTGATCAACAACCGAATCGACAGATCTTGATCAAAAGGAATAAAAATGTGGAACAGAACTTCAAATTCTTATTGGAAACCAGACTTACTGGATACATTGAGACTGGAGGAACCCCAAATCTGTTGCCTGGAAACAACTTTTAAACCTTGAACTGAAACTAGCCCATGAAGTCATCTTTAAACTACAACAATTTACCTTCTTTAATAAAGAAAGTTTCCCTTGGGCATGGTGCTCTTTTAAAGAATTAGCTATATGAGATCAAATGGACAACAGTAACTATAAAATACAGATGAGAACTTTAAGGGGCACAGAGTCTAAATCAACAGTGGTGAAATAACATGGGCAGAGACAGGGGGAATGGTGACACAATGTATGTAACCTCTGTCAATGAACTATACATGCAAAAATTGCTTTCTTGTATTTATTTTCACTGAAAATAAATTAATAATAAAAAATATTCATTTAATCAAGAAATAATGGTCATTTGAAGGGTCAAAACTAGCCTTTCTGAGTATATTATTTCTATGTTCTACTTCCCCCTAACTTCAGCTTACCTCAGTAAGAGCCTTAGAAAGGATATCACAATGATGAGCACTAGACCAATAAGGAATGCAATACTCACAGCTATAAAAGGAAAGATAACAACATCACCAAAAATGTCATCATTAAACTTGTCACATCATTACATTTAATCTATAAATGAAAACAGGCAAGAGACAATCTCTATATTCTTATGCTATGTTTCCTATCAACAACTTAGAATGTTCTTCATGAGGGGAGTACTAATTTTCATTATGAAAAATATTAAACAAACACAAAAGTAGAGAGAATTATATAATAAACCTGCATATACCCATCACTTAGATTTTAAAATTATCAAGATTTTGTCACTCTTGCTTTATTTTTTGGCTGAAGTATTTTAAAGCAACGCCCAGGCATCAGGTCATTCCGTCCCTACATGAATCCCTAAAGCATATGTAACTCTTAAAATCAGTATCATGTGCCTCCTGATATGATGCACTAAGAAAGGCATGACATCACTTCTGCAGAATTCATATCAAAAATGGATAACCTCTACCTACTCATGAGAAAACATCAGGTCAATGCAAATTAAGGGACAGTCTACAAATTTAACCAGCCAGTACACTTCACAAGTGTCAACATTTACACTAAAGCAAAGAGGAAAAGATAAGGGGGCAGGGAAACTAGAGTACTGGAAACGGAACAACCAGAACACAATTAAAGAGAATGTTGACACAATGTGGAAAATGTAACTAATGTCACTGAATAATCTGTATGAAAAATTTTCAAATGCGAACCTAATTTTCTAAAAAAGAAAATTATTTAAAAACAAAGTGTCAAGGTCATGAAAGACAAGGAAAGACCGAAGAACTGTGCTAGAATGGAGGAGATTAAGGAGACATGACAAGGCCATGTAATGAGAAATTCTAGATCGGATACCAGACCAGAAAAAGGGCATTATAAGGGACAATCACAATCGAAGAAATTTGAGTAAGTCTGTAACCTAGTGGATAGTATTAAATCAATGTTAAATGTGTGGTTTCAAGGACTGTGATTATTACAATGGGGGATAATTGAACTATGGTTATATAGTTTAGACATTTAGGGGTGAAAGGTATATGGGAACTCTTTTTGTATAACTTTTCTGTAAGTCCAAATAGTTTGGAAAACTATTTCTAAATAAAAAGGTTTTTTTTAATGGACTTTCGTTTTATAACCACAATGTTATATAAAATGTATAATTCCCTGGTAAGCATATAACAGGGTTCATATTTAAATTTTCTTGGTATCTCAAAAACGTTTTTTTTCTCTTTTTATTGTACTTTAGGGGAAGGTTGACAGAACAAATAGTTTCTTGTTAAACAATTAGTACACCTACTGTTTTATGACAATCGTTAATAACCCCACAACATGTCAACACTGTCCCTTCTTAACCCTGGGTTCCCTATTACCAGCTTTCCTGTCTCCTCCTGCTTTCTAGTCCTTGTTCCTGGACTGTTGTGCCCCACTAGTCTCGTTTTGTTTTATGGGGCTGTCTAATCTTTGGCTGGATGGTGAACCTTGAGAGTGACTTCACTACTGAGCTAAAAGGGTGTCCGGGGGCCATACTCTCGGGGTTTCTCCACTCTCTGTCAGGCCAGTAAGTCTGGTCTTTTTTT